TAATTTTTTCAATGTCAACAATAAATAAACGTTTATGCAAAGCGTGGAAATTCCCTTCCCTTTTGGCTTGTGTCGTCATTAAATGGGATTTAGGGGCAATTGTGGCCAGTTTAAGTGACAAAACACAAAAAAGCATTTAGAACAATTAGCTGGGTCGTTTTCAGCTTCGTTCTACCATAGTTCTTAGAGGAGACTGGTTATGAAGAGCGGCAAACATCAATGATAAAAACAACAGTGCTGCAGTTTATGTTCAAAGCACCGTGAAAGTGCACAATCCTTTGTTTTCTGTTGGCAAATTGTTACGGAATAAATTAATGCAACGTTTTTATTGGTCAATACAATCAAAATGATAGGAATTCTTTTAAACGTTGTGCACTTTCAGGTCCACAAAAACATATAACAAAGGAGTCTGACGGGTTTCATAACCATTCCACTCAATTAACTATGGTCAAACTTTAAAAAGTATAAAGGAATCAATCAACGTATGGAAATGGAGAGGGCTCTCCCTTTTAGGAAGAATATAGATAGTCAAAACTTTCGCAATCCCAAAGCTTATGTTCAGAGCTTCGGTTATACCAGTCTCTAAAGAACTAATTAAAGAGACAAACTCAGTTCTCTACAACTTTATTTGGAATGGGAAAGACAAAGTGAAGCGCCTTGCATTGATATCTGATATAGAAATGGGTGGACTCAAAATGTTGGACATTCAATCTGTGATTTGCGCTAAACGAATAACATGGTTAAAGAAATTATTAGAGGATTACTCAAGTCCTTGGAAAGTAATCCTAGACAAACTTCTGTTACCAATCGGAGGACGTTTTGTATTGCACTGCAAATTTCAAACTTCTAAATTGAAAATCAATCTACCAGCATATTATAAGGAATGCTTCGATGCGTGGTCGGAGGTTAATGGAAAGACTCCAAGTTGTTACGAGGAAATCATTAACGAAATTACCTGGAACAACAAATTTCTTTGTTATGACAAAAAATCGATGTACAGAAGAGATAGTAAACTTAGGCTTCGTAAAGATTAAGGATTTAATTTCTGCGAACAACTCCTTCTCGTGCGACTTCTCTTCACTTACAAACGCTGGACAAAGATTTTTTCTTATGAGTATTATCAATTCGATTCCCGCAGAATGGCGCTCACTCATTAAAGCATCTACAAACGTAACATCAGCTAATCCCATACCGATTACCCCAACTATTAAGTTGCCGAGTGGTAATGTAGTGCCAATCCTTGATATCTCTCCTAAACAGATCTATCAAATCTTTCTGCAGCAAAAGCAAATTGCGCCCACCGCAAAACAGAAATTATCATACAAGTACTCAAATATAGATATTGATTGGGAAAAGGCTTACACTTTGGCCTTTCATTGCACTTTGGACACAAAGATCAGGGAATTTCATTACAAAATTTTAAACTGTATACTCTTTACAAACGTGAAACTTAATTTAATTGGTGTAGTGGAATCGCCAAACTGCACTTTCTATCAAGAAGCAGCGGAATCTGTTGAGCATTTACTCTTCTCCTGCAGGATATCTTCTGAGTTTTGGAAGCATGTCTTGTCCTGGCTAAGAGATAATGACGTTCATGTTGAGACAATTAATGAGTCTCATGTGATATTTGGAAAATTTGATATTGTAGGCGACTATATTCTAATTAATCATATTTTGTTATTAGCGAAATATTATATCTACTGTAGGAGATGTCATAATAGCGTATCTTCTATTAGAGGTTTTATTGCTAGGGCAAGACGTGTCTTCAATATTGAGCTCCATATCGCCAGCGAGAAAAATAAACTTCTTTTTACTGGGCTGCCTGTGCGCCCAGTCATAAAATGGGCTTTCGGTCGTCTGCGGTGAAAAACGGCCTCCCGGGGGAGGGACGACACGAGAGTCTTGTACGGAGAAACGATGTTCTCACAAATGGTTTCATATGAGTTTCTCTTGCACGGAGCCGTACACGGATACTTTTTGTACCTCGTCTCCGCTCCCCCTGAAAAACCCACAAGACGTTGCGAACCTGAAGAAAGTTATTTGCGTTGTTCGAAGCGATTCGATCATGGGAGTTACTCTATAATTTTTTTATTGTACGAGTTTAAGTCAGTTAGATGATGTTGGCGCTGGGAAACTCAGAGAAATGCTCGCGTTGCATTCAAACCGACACGCCGTTCACAGTAGGTTTACACTAAAAGATGACTGTGAGCGGCAGGTTTGGAACGCCGTGGCCGCTTCGTGAACTCAAAGAGAGAATTATCGATCGATGTAGTACATGAGCAATTAAGAAGCACAATTCATGAGCAGAGTATTTCATCAGTTGACGACACTATGGCTGAAGACTTGATTGTACGCCTTCGTAGTCAGTGAAGCGAACAACTCAGTTGCCGATGAATGGCAGATGAATCCTGATGTTACGCACGTTCATTCGCGAGGGACGTGACAACTTTGCCATGTTATAGAAGACTGGCTTTTCCTTTAAATATTTCCTTCTATTTAATGCAACACACGCCACTTTGGAGGTCTAAATTTAGGATACTGAGGATAAAGAAGACACGGACAAAAATAGGGACTCTGAGAATTTCGCACACAAGTTTAAAGCTTCATCGGGACATCCCATCCGGGAGCTTCACAGAGAGCGACTTGAGGAAAATAGGAGCCATTACTGAAAAGGTTTGGTGACTGAGTAGAGCATACAAGTGTAGCCCACGTCGAGGTTTCAGGGAGTTTGCTTTTGTTTGTACCTGTATCTTGCTAAGCTTTTATCATTAAATTTGTACATGATCTTGTGATCACAGTTCTGTGTTTTCGCCCATTCAGCAAGCACGCTATATTGATGTCAGCATTAGCGAGTTTCAGAAACATGCCTTTGAAAGTTTTCAGCTCTCGTGATGTTTCTTGATATTTCTTTTACCATTTTATGGAGATGTAAACTGAAGTCACCGCAAAATGGAAACTTAAAAAAGCGTATAATCTATTTATCTTGAAACATAACACACATGACTTATACGACCTCTATTTTCGTTAAGGTGTTTTGAATACGAACGAACATAGTCAATGTGAGGGGCAAAAACAGCATTAATATAAATGAACCAGAGGTTTTAACTAATATAAGGGTCAATTATTGTGCATTGAGAGGAATCGCTTGAAAAGAGAGACTTCGCTTGAAGATGTGATCAGAAGTAAACAAAGGCATAATAGTGCGTCACTTTCAGTCTTTTTAATATCCAAGGAGTCACTCTGAATAGTGTTTCCATACTGTTTAGCTGGCACAAAAACTTCGGACGAGTTATAAAGCAGCATAGTTATCTTCCATGAAGAAAAGTTAGTCTTGGGTGAGACAAACAGAACTGGTAAAAAATATGTTATCGATCGTTTTATCTATTTACATTGTTTGAAGTGCGTGCTGGTGAACGCAACATGCGAGCGAGAAATCTTTAAACTTTTTTAGGTCTCAAAATCCAAAGGATTTTATTCCTTTAAGTTAGAGAAAAATACCAAGAGGAAAATCTTAAAACTGAATATTTTTCATCTTGTGGAAAAATAGTGCGTTTTCTTGTAGACTGTGGACCGCAAATTAGGATCGCACTTTTCACAAACATGCGAATTCTGAAGTTCAGAAGCCAACCGACGATTGCGTTTTTCGCTGCTGTCAATCATCTTAACGGACCTCTTAGGAAACAAAACTTTACTTCACGGGTTCAAAAGGTCATGGTTTTCGATCCGTTTTGTGTGTTTCTCTGTTTCAAGGTTCGTTGCTTGTGATCTTAATTATGATTGACGGCAGCGATAAACACAATTGTGAAGGTGGCTTTTGAACTTTAGAGTTCGCATGTTTGTGAAAAGCGCAGTAAAGTCTCCGTGTAGTCAGTGAGGCCCCTGGATTAGGCGGGACCAATGGGCAGTTAACTGTCTGTTTTAGAATACTTCTGGTTTTCATACAATACAATATTTCTGTCTAGTGTAAATCAGCTCAGTCTGTCGCATTTTATGCTCGTAGAACGACAACAATTTTTGGAATTTCCGGTTACGTCAAATTAGTCACGTTATACTGTCACGCTATATTTTGGGGCACAGAGGGATTCGGGGAAGGGGTGCGTAGAAATAATGCAAATTGTTTCCTGCTTAGAATTAATTGCTAACTTGTTTATTTTTATTCATAATGGTGGAATGTAAAAGTTATTATACAGCCCCCACTTAAAAATGGTACTCCTCTTTTTTGGTTATGAAAGTCTTTCAAAAGGGTACAATGTTCTGAACAGGGGATGAGTTAATGTTAATGGTTGCCGACAAGGTTTTATGGTAGCCTGAGTGTGTATAGCCGCCCCCTCCCTTCAGAAAACATAGCCCCTTTGCAGCCCAGTTAAAAATCGCCTTTCGCCGATTCTTGTTCATTATCAAAAGTGGGAGAAGCGAACTTATGTACTTTGTAGTAGTTGATACACGTAGGTTCGTTAAAATTAGTAGGCATCTTTATTGTTATCGTCGTTGTTGTAATATATACATATATTTTTCGTTGTTATTGTTATCCTTTTTCTTTTTTTTTTTTTTTAAGTGGAATTGTATATTTTGATTCATTTAATTAATGTTTATTCTTAAGTAACATTGTAAAACTCGTTTAATTCAATAACCAAAAAAATTAGCGAAAAAAAATTGTTTTTAACTTCCTCTAACGATAAAAGTTAAACTTGTTGATAAAATGAAGCAAAGTACTTATTTTGTGCTTTATTTGACATGTTAGCCGTTTTTACCTGATTTCTAATTCTTGGTAAAATCAAAAATGGCAGCCAAGATGGCGAATATGTTTGGTGACGTCACAGGCCTCTAACAGCGCCTATCCCAATAAAATATAGGAAGATCTTAGATAACAATGACCTCAACCAGGTTGGTTTTCAGCGGTTTTAGTGAAAACAAGGGTTTGGGTGGGATGCTCAATCTCGGTGGGCTCATAAATTAAACCGGTCTTTGTCATTCTTATTTAAGGATTTTCTAAAACATGCCTCAATGATCTTGTCGAGAAGATCAAAAGGTTTTCGCTAAAGGTAAAATCTTTTGGAAACACTGCAACATGTCAAAAACTTCAGAGAGGGGTTCCATCAACCCCCTCACCCACCCCACCACCACCACCACTTGTACCATGTTGGGGGATGACAGCGTAGCGTGTACGTTAATACGTCCGAAGGTTAATTCAGTAAAAGCCAAGAGAGGATAAAGGGGACAGAGAAGGCGTCCCCCATACACACCCGATTCCATAGGTAATTCGTTTCGAGTTATTTTTAGAATGGGGATAAAGTTACCTCGCGCGCTGCGTGGATGTTTCGTGGAGGTTTCGCATGACTAAACACCGTGCAAAACATGTCGGGCGAAAGGCAATGAAAGCGTAAAGAGATCGAGAGCATTCCTGAATATTGAAGCGAAATGAGTCGGCGCTCACCTGGGAAAAGGGAATGGCTGGACTCTTTGACAACCCGTGAAATCAGTTTAACTCGAAGTTGTCGTAACCTCATGAGCGCTTTAATAAAATGAGAAATTTCGTCGGTCTATTGAAACCGGTCGTTTGTACAATAAAGCAAGTAGGACGCCAAGTGTTATTTTTGTTGAATAATAAAAGACTAATAAAAGAATAAATATCAAACCAGAAATTGCCCTCTTCAAACTGTAAATTATAAATGATCCTGAGAGAATATTCAGTGTGTTAAGGATTTCCCTGCAGTACTGTTAGCTCTATACGAGAGAGGAAGGGCGATTCTTTTTTAATTTCCGTTTCGCTGACACAGCTTTAGCAGAAATCTCGCTGTAGTTGTTTTCGTCGACCAAACGAATAGCAATATCGCTCTCCGAGTCTTCCGCCCTTTTGTTCTGCGTCATTTCGTGAAGGACGCGTGGCTCTCAGAGGTTGAAAAAAGGTGTTTCCGTTTCCGTTTTTGTAACGGTTATCTAACGGAAACCTGAATATCCGCGGACGGAATTGTAACGGGGAACACGTGTATCCGTCATGTTTCAGTTTCTGCGGACACGCTTAAACGCATCCCTTATACTCGCGTTTCCGTCAGGTTTACTCTTGCGGAAACGCTAACTGCCGTCATGTTTCCGCAGCTCGTAAATTCAGAGGATACTCAATTATCCGTTGAGTTTCCGGAACAATGAATGCGGAAACTCAGTTTGACCGGTTTACTTTCTGCAGCCTTCATGTTTCCACAGATTCCGCTTTCGGTGGATTATTCACTGGATTTCCTAAATGTGTTAACTTTCCTTAACCACCCAGTTTCGAATCATATGTTCATTCTATCCGGTATATAAAAAGTGGACGTTTGTGAGACAACCCTGGACCGTTTCATGCATCCACAATGACCCATTTTCGCTGATACACACAAATCAAGCTGAGTCATATTTAGGTGCATTTTTGGTATTAAAGTTTTTATTAAAATAATTCTATCTCCATTTTCATATAATATGTACATATGTATATTAAATATTTTCACAATAAAAAGAGACTCCTTACAATGTATTCCTATTTTCTATATCCAAAACTGTAACTTTTCAATTTCAATAGGCCACTTCCGAGTTCCAAAAACCCTCACTTTCAAAATGAGGCGAGGTGCGCAACCTTTCTTGTGAAATGAGTTTTATTTGCACGAGAATGAAAAATGATTTCCATATCAAAGGCTGAGCACTTAACCTCGTTTTGAAACAGAGGCCCTGGGAACTCGGAAATGGCCTATTAAAATAATCCTTTTAGAATTGACAAAATTCAAAATTTTTTCCTTGAAATGATTAGATTAAAATAATAATTATACAGTCTAACCTCTTCTTATGGACACTTCTATACGACGGACAGTTCGTTTGGTCCCAGAAAAGCCAAAAATCATGCAATCCCTACCTCTGTAATATAGACACCTCTATAAAGCGGACACTTGGTTCTGTCCCTTTAGTGTCCGTATTAAAGAGGTTTGACATTATTATAAGTAACGTGCATTTCCATTCCAAAATAACTCAAAGAAGTAGTTCACGGCAAAATTATTACATAATTTAATAAGAAAAATAATATTATTACAAATGAAAGTCTTACTTAGTTACATGTAAGACTGCATAAAATCCCATTAGGAAATCTAAACGGCTGCCTTAATTCTTATTAGCAAGTACCAGTACTTGGTGGACCATCCCCAAAAATTATTGTTAAAGCCTACACAAACTGATGAGAGGCCATTATTGGGGAGTATCAGGCTGATGCTACAACGACGATAGTGAAGCAAACAAAACTAGCCATAGGCTTTATATACAAATGTATAAGCCAACATCTCTACACATGTATCTCACTTATTGTCGCCACTCTGCTGTAAGTGCATGGCTACAACTTGGACCTGGCTGTGGCATACAAAGTAGTCTACGAGAATTTGCCTACATCTGAGTTTGAATAGTAATGACAAACTACACACTTTTAACAAGCGACTCACTTTCACAATGCATCTATCTTACACTCCCTGTTTTATAGTTTTAGGATAATCCATTGACTGTCCTGTAATTTCAGCAATTTTAATGAACACAGTCGAGTAAAGATTGACTTTTAGAATAAAACTCTTATCAACTTTCCAATTACCCTCCCACGCAGGCGTTTTTAGGGGAGCTCGTATTTCTTCCCTCCCCTCCCTCTCTGGGGAGGGAAGAAATACGAGCTCACCTAAAAACGACTGCGTGGGAGGGTAATTGGAAAGTTGATAAGAGTTTTATAGGATAAAGGGGACAGAGAAGGCGTCCCCCATACACACCCGATTCCATAGGTAATTCGTTTCGAGTTATTTTTAGAATGGGGATAAAGTTACCTCGCGCGCTGCGTGGATGTTTCGTGGAGGTTTCGCATGACTAAACACCGTGCAAAACATGTCGGGCGAAAGGCAATGAAAGCGTAAAGAGATCGAGAGCATTCCTGAATATTGAAGCGAAATGAGTCGGCGCTCACCTGGGAAAAGGGAATCGCTGGACTCTTTGACAACCCGTGAAATCAGTTTAACTCGAAGTTGTCGTAACCTCATGAGCGCTTTAATAAAATGAGAAATTTCGTCGGTCTATTGAAACCGGTCGTTTGTACAATAAAGCAAGTAGGACGCCAAGTGTTATTTTTGTTGAATAATAAAAGACTAATAAAAGAATAAATATCAAACCAGAAATTGCCCTCTTCAAACTGTAAATTATAAATGATCCTGAGAGAATATTCAGTGTGTTAAGGATTTCCCTGCAGTACTGTTAGCTCTATACGAGAGAGGAAGGGCGATTCTTTTTTAATTTCCGTTTCGCTGACACAGCTTTAGCAGAAATCTCGCTGTAGTTGTTTTCGTCGACCAAACGAATAGCAATATCGCTCTCCGAGTCTTCCGCCCTTTTGTTCTGCGTCATTTCGTGAAGGACGCGTGAGCGTGGGTCATCCACGCGGAACACATTCGCTGATTGGCTGTTGTCTAACCCTCCTTGAGATCTGTGGTGTCAAAAATAACTCGAGACGAGTTACCTATAGAATAGGGTGTGTATGGGGGATGCCCTCTCTGTCCCCGTTATCCTCTCTTGGTATAATACCGACCATGTTACGTATTTGTTCAACATTTGATTTGTGAAATAAATCTTTAAACTTATCCTACGAGAGTAATTTTTTGTTAGACTGGTTTTCGGGAGGTTCTGATGCTTCGCTGCCCTTAAATTCGTGGAAACGTATTGCGCCGATAAATTTGATAAGTTCGATAAATCGATAACAATAACAGTTAAAAATCGATAATTATCGATTACTCACAACGTATTCCTTTATTGATTTTGATCGATTTCCGATAAAATTATCTAATTTTTGTCGATTTTATCAATTGTTGTTGATTATCGGTTTTATCGATTGAACTAGTCAGGAATACACACTCGTAACGTGGGCTTGGGACGCCTGTGATATTACAAGCCTTTCTACAGTCGACTCTCGATAATTCGAACCTTATAGGGAAATAGAAAAAAGTTCGAGTTATCGGGAGTTCGAGTTATCGAGGGTAAAATTATGTAGAAAATGATCTGAAGGGAAATGAAAATTGCTTCGAGTTAGCGGGAGGTTCGAGTTACCGGGAGTCGACTATATTAACCCTCGGACCTACGGGGGTGGGGTGTATGCCTACACCCTCTGAGGTTTTTCTGAGTTTTTCCTTAGGCCGGATCGAACATCAGCACCCGACGTTTACAGCAGCTGTTCGTTTTTACACTTTAGCATATTAAAAATTACAACGGCAAATGGAGCACACGTCAATGTACGAAAAAGCTGCTCAGTAAAATTGGTACAGCTGAAACCCATGTATGCTTTATATACAGTAGTATGTTCACAGACCCTCTATTTTTTCTTCAAAGTCCATCGAACGCGGGTGATAAAATATAAACCGCAGGGGATTTATTGACTGCCAGCGCAAGCGGGTAGTGGTCAGGGGAAGAAGAACGTTCTTTAGTTTTCTTTCTCGCCCTCCGCGCTCGTTCTCGCGCGCTCATTCTCGCGCGATGTTTTTGAAAAAAACGAAAAGAAAAATAAAACATTTTGGAAAGAACGAAAGGAAAAATAAAACAACGTCTGTTTACAGGCTAATATATAGATTTAGCCAGGGATAAAAGCGAAGCTCTCGATAATATTATTATATAGGTTGTTCAAACAAAATATAAAATCGTGTAATGCTAAGCAAGGAAAAACAACAATAAGTCTAATTAGCAAAAGCAACTTTGCACGTGCAGCACAGTTTTTTTGTACATTTCTTTGCCGTTGTTTTGCACGACTACAACGTGAAACTTCCAGAAACTTCTTAGTTACACGTTTTATGGAGGAAATGTCATACGTGTTCCCGTTTACTTTTTTTGACTGTCGCTCATTTTCACCTTGCTTTTGTGGCCGTTAGCATTTCTAATTTTGTCACCGCCGTTACAAAATTTTCATGTTGTTCTTCCAACAAAAATGTCTCCTTTGTTCTTTATCTCTCGCTCTAAATTCCTGTCGTCCTCTTTCGTTGAGCCTCGCTGGCCTGCCGCCCACTTTCTCTTTTTCTCTGTCTTTCTCTTACTCTATCTTCCAAATTTGTGGACATGACAATTTATCTAAGCTTCATACGTCAGACAACACGGATCCAGAAACAATTTCCGCTTTCCGTTTTCTTCTTTATTGACTCTTTTGTTGTCTCTGCTTACAAGACGCCGGTGGCTATAGATGCGATTTCCTGCCAAAATAACCTCGAGATGCATTTGGGTTACCATACCTGTTGATTGAGTTATTTTACATTGGTATATCTGTGGTGCGGACGGACGGTCGGTCGGGCAGTCTGTCGGTGTACAGTCAAGTGATTACCAAAATTCTGACTCCACTACACAACATCAACAGACAAAACGTAATGGCAAATAAGTTTATTTTGGGACGGCTTGGCGAGAACCAACCCTACAAAGTATTTATGTAAATACAATAATAGGTGAATACTGGTGAATACCCTGAATACCTAATGTACAACACTTGTAAACTAGCTTTCACAAAAAGATAAAACTCGTGCGACAAATGGTCGCTCTTGACCTGAATCTCCCATTTAAGCAGGCAGGCTTAGTGCCAGGTAGGCTGCCAGTCATTCTGGGGAAACTAATTAATAAAACTCAGACAACGCATAACTGGCACACGGAACACGGTAGTAGCACAGAGGCTAAACAAAAAGAAAAAACTCCTCACAACTGGTCGATCTCGACCTGAATCCCCCAAATAAGCACACAGGCTTAGTGCCAGTTAGGCTGCCAGTTAGGCTGGGGAAACTAATTAATAAAACTCAGACAACGCATAACTGGCACGAGGAACACGGTAGGAACACAGAGGCTAAGCAAAAAGAAAAAACTGCTACAACTGGTCGATCTCGACCTGAATCCCCCAAATAAGCACACAGGCTTAGTGCCAGTTAGGCTGCCAGATAGGCTGGAGAAACTAATTAATAAAACTCAGACAACGCATAACTGGCACGAGGAACACGGTAGGACCACAGAGGCTAAGCAAAAAGAAAAAACTGCTACAACTGGTCGATCTCGACCTGAATCCCCCAAATAAGCACACAGGCTTAGTGCCAGTTAGGCTGGAGAAACTAATTAATAAAACTCAGACAACGCATAACTGGCACGAGGAACACGGTAGGAGCACAGAGGCTAAGCAAAAAGAAAAAACTGCTACAACTGGTCGATCTCGACCTGAATCCCCCAAATAAGCACGGAGGCTTAGTGCCAGTTAGGCCGGGGAAATTTAATAAAACTGTGATCAACGTATAACTGGGACCGGGAACACTTCAGGAGCACAGAGGCTGAGTGCCAGGAAAACTGGGAATTATCTCCACTAATGTACCCAACAAGGCACGTAGCCCAATAACCAGTAAGACTGCCATAAAAGGCTAGGGCGGGACATTGAGGGTAAACAATGAATAACGACCCTGGCTAGAGGTCTGTAACATTGCCTGCAACCTAACTGCTCCAATAATGACTTACGTCGCCTCCTAAAGAGCGGTTCCGGGACAGCTGACCTAAGCATACATGGAAACTAAATATATCAAGTAAAGGAGCAGGTGCAAAACTGAGATAACTAGTGTACAAGTACATAAAATAAGAAACGGGAAAAAGGCTGAAAACTAGCAGAGCTGAGCTACCGCTTACAAACTGAAGTAAATGCGGTCAGACGGAGGCCAGAAAAAACCTGCCCAAAAAAACCCCGAAGGGAAAAAATGCGGGCAGGAAATCTGGGTAGGAACCAAGGCTCAAGCTCAAAGCCCTTCCTACGGGACTTAACAATGTAATCGAGAATATGTTGCTCCTAAAAATAAATAAAACAAAAATTTAAGAAAAACCAAGGAGAGGTTGGTTCGTAAGCCTAGATGACGAACACGTGATATACGCAGCCTTATATACCCCCGATATGGCTACCCATGGTGCACCCGGCCTAGTACCCAGGCCCTGTTGTATCTCGTGCCGTCAAAATATTTATTTCTGCCTTCTTCGCGGGCTCATTCGTCAGAAATAACATTTTTCTCGGATGGGTAGATTACTTCATTTTCTTTACCCATGGTGCTCTGCTGGCAAGCTTCGCGCGCGAGAGCTCCGCTCTTAGTATACAGTCGACTCCCGATAACTCGAACCTTCAAGGGAAATCGAAAAAGGTTTGAGTTATCGGGAACTCGGAAAAAATAGCAGGGAGTTTTTACTGCATAGTGAACATTTTAATCACATTTAATTGTAGAAATGTCAAGTGAAAATTAAAAGACACTTCTAGATTATAAATCAGAACGTAACGTAACAACATTGCCTAAATAGAGCATGCGGTTTACTGTTTTGAGAAGTAAGGCTGTTTCACGCTAGAGTTGTATGTGTTATCAAATGGTGACTAGTGAAATTAGGGAATAATTTCACGCGCGTTATGTCCAAATCCTTATAATTTAAAGGCGAGGGAAATTATTAGGATTTGGACAAAACGCAAGTGAAATTATTCCCTAATTTCACAAGTATACCATTTGATTACCTATTAATGTTATAGGTGACGAATTACGTTAGCAATCTTGGACTTTGACATGTTTATCCTGGATCTTATCGATCGAGAACTCCAATCTCTCGAACGTTTAGAGCTTAAATTTGGCTTAAATTCAGACTTTTTCGACAAAATACCTGTTAGAATCCTTCTTGATGTGCTCTTTCGTGTGTTCAGGTTTTCTAAAGCGTCTTTTTATGCCCTGGCATCTTCATTCATGGCATTTTAAAACTTCGTCGCCATCTTGACACTGAGACGTACGGAAGGTTGCCATGGCATTTTTGTAATTTCACGTGTGAAATTACAAATTATCACTGAAATTTCGCGCAAAAATTAAGGAGTAATTCGTTATTAGTGACAAACAAAATCAGCCTCCAATAGTAAAGTATTTCCTACAACATGTCAGTGGGAAATTCAAAATTCAATGTTTGGGACGCCAGAAGACTGTTTTTTTTTCTTTTCCCGACTTTTAATTAAATAAAAAAGGGCTCAAAACATGGTTCGAATTGAGGGTAACATTGTATAGAAATGATCTGAGGGGAAACAAAAACCACCTTGAGTTAGCGGGAGGTTCGAGTTATCTAGGGTTCGAGTTACCGAGGGTAAAGTTACAATAAATGTATGACGGAAATCCCGGGAAAATCGATTTTGGTTCAAGTTAGCGCGAAGTTCGAGTTAGTGAGGGTTCGAGTTATCGGGAGTCAGCTGCATCACTGCACAATAAATACACTTTGACAACAAGTAAGTTAGCAATATCTCCATACTGAGTCCCTTCTTCACTACCTATTTCAAAAAAAAACAGATCGAAGGGCTCGTGGATTTCTTTTAAATAATTTCTCAAAATATAAGTAAGTCCGAGCCTTGAGATTCGTGTTGTAAGACAACTATCTAGTTGCAGCCCATTATTCAAAGCCAACAATAAAGCTTTATCAAAGTTATATGATTACACTTGATAGTTAGATCCCAGCCAGAATTGAACGTATTTGGTGAGAGCGAAGTTAGATAATAAATTTGCAACACGCAAAGGGAAATCGGGAAACATCGATTATAAAAACACGAGGGGCAGGTGAAGGAGAAAACATATGACTCGACACAGTGTCGACGCTTGATAATTTCAATTCAGTAAATAGTTTATTTTTTGATATAAAATGGTTTTAAAAAAGCATTGCTTCAACTTGATCATTGATAACATCCGCAATGGCGATGCAACTAAAACTACATTCTTTTCTCTTTGTTTGAGTTTCACTGCCGCGAACAACTGGTAAATTAAAATTTTTCCAAAACTCGTGGTAAGAACGGCCACAACCCACGCTTGGAAATTTTGACCTAAAATTCGGCCAACTTTTCGCGGCCGCGCGGAGGATTGGGTCCATGTGAATCAAAAAAAAAAATGGCGGCTCAAAGGGAACCTGACCAAGTGGAAGTTATTAGTGGCATTAAAGGAGCATTAAATCGCCAGAAGTCGAATTTTTCCCGGCGGATTTCAAATGTACATAAGCTGAGAGATCTAGATCAAACTTTTCAAGCGCTAGGGAAAGTGGCCGAGGCTGTTGTGAAGGGAAAATACGGTCCCCTTCGGGATCGATATCAGCATGAAATTTGTCCCATATCTTCCATGTTGGAGCGCACAATGATACGTGCTAAGAAAGGCATTTATCGCCGACTTAGTCCGCGGATGAGTAAAATCCATCCTTGGTTGATTTGTTTTGACGTCCCGATGCCACAGGAAGTGTTCAATTTATTGAATAAAGGGGTTGTAAATCTTACACGTTTTGGTGTAGATGTTTTGTAGCAGCCTTATTCAGTCACAATAACATTCTCAAGTATGAAAAGACTGTGTGCCTTATTTAATAAATTTGAGGACTGCCAAGGATTCACAAAGAAGCTAGGAGTTGGAAAAGGGGAAGTGAACTCATTGTTGATGAAAGGAAGAATGGAATTATGAAATATAAATATAAAGAAGAAATGTTGGAATTGAAATTCCATTATGGCCATTGGAATGCCTTTGGTATCCTTCATCATTGAAGAGGGAACAGTGTTTTCTATACAGTTACTAATGGGTTGAGGTAGCAACATATATATATATATATATATATATATGTTGTACTTAGTTTTTTTTATCTCAAGTAATTTTTATTTTTCCTTTGTTTCATCTTTATTACCATACCTAAAAACCCTGAGTCGAATACCAATGAAGACAATTGGCAGAAGTCGCATTATCAACTTGGGATCATTTGAGTCACCCTGAATTGCTTTCACTAGATACATAAAGCCATGCAAGATTAGGTGCGAATCTTTACCAGTTAACCTGTAAGTGAAGTCTTTATCTTTAGCTCTATCCTCAAGGAGCCACCTACCTAGTTGTTTTTTCATTCTCCCTGCTTTAACATCTTGTTCCATGGCCTTTAAATACCTGGACATTGCCGAATTGGAGGGCAAATCATCAAGGCTATTTAATTTTTTGGGGAGGTTACTTACAGAAATAGCAAGATCAAGTAACATTGCATGAAAATGTTGGACACCATTATTCTTAAGGTGAAGTGGTTCAACAACTTCCTTGTCACATAGCTTACCAATTAAAGGTTTGAATTCTTGTCTGAATTTTTTTACAGCAATAAATTGAGTTACTTTGGATCTCTTTGTTGATACTGCTAAATGACTAGGTACTTTTTTCTTGAAATCTTCAACCTGTTTTGCAACATTGATTCTTTCTGCATACTGCCAAGGCTTCCACTTACAATCATGAGATTCTCCATACTTCCCATTCAGTGCATTACAGTCATCTTTGGAGACATTAGCAAAGCTAGAAAAATATTTAGCTGCATTACTTAATTCCCCATTTATATATGCAAGGAGTTTCATATCTCCTGGCAGGAGATCACAAGAAAAGGTGACATTCTTACCCAATACTGTGTAAGATTTGCTCTCTATTTTTTCCATGTCTGTAGCAAGTTTCACTGTAAAACGAGAAACAACCATGTGGTCCTCCTTACAATTAGCTCCAAAAAGCAAAACATTGTCACTGGGACTAGCTACCCTGGGCCCCACATTCAAAAAACGTATCAGCCATGACATAGATTGATCCCATTTCCCAAAAGGAGCCCCATCACCCCCTATGGCAACCTTAAATGCTCCCTACCTCTCACTGAACCACACCAGCTTATCCCCAGGTTTCCTGTACTGATCAGTCTCAAAATAGAACTTGGCCAGCAGAAGTAAAAAGTTCTCCAGGTTTCTATAGACCCCATCAACCTGCTGATCAGGTGGAGGGTCATGGCATAGGGTTTCCCTTATTGAATAAAATTCCCCCACATCAATTTCTTCAATTTTTTTCATTAACAACCGATAGGGAAGGAGTTTAGGAATGGGATACCCATACCAAACAAAACTCTTTCTTTTGACACAGAACCTACTTTCTTGGTGTGTTTCTTAGTATTTTTCATAACAAGAGCTGATCTTGTTTGTTCATATTTTACCTTTTCCATCAATCCTGCTGCATGAAGCATAGAAAGTGAACGAATGACATTATGATCACTTTGCTCATACTGCTTAACCTGAGGTTTTATTACTGCTAGACTAGCTTTTCTCATCTTTTTTGATGAAGAAAAGTATTTAGATAGAGCTGCTGTCTTCGCATATTTAGTCAGCGTAGAAAACATGCCATCCAAGGCTGGGGACCTGTCTTCAACAGATCTACCATTTACTTCTGTTGCTGCAACCAACGTTTCAAGTTGTCTTCTGCTGGCACTTCGCTGTGGCACGTTTAGCTTTCCCTCATCAGTGAGCACAGTTGGACTTTTTTTTTTCATAGAGTGGATGTGTTAGCTGTCACTTCAAAAACTAACCTTCTTTTAGTCTTGACAGCGGGAAGATCAACTTTTACCGAATCAACATTTTCTTTTATGCGAGTTTTCTGCAAGTCCAAGAACGTAAGTTAACCCTTTAAGCCCTATGAATGATCAGCATCAAATTTCTCCTTGTAATATAAATACTTTGTTAAACAGAGTGGTCATGAGAATTGCGGACATGATCACACAAGATGAATTTGCTTGATATTTTATCAACTTCTTCCCACTTCTTCTGTACGAAATGAATGTAGCGAATTTAACTTAGAGAACATTTACTCTGGAGTAAGTTTTAGCGGATCGATGGAAAAATCGCAAAAATAAGAACCCGCAAAATTTTCGTGCCACACAGTAGTCCTCTCCTTTCACTAAAAACCTTTTTCAAGCTAAACTTACCTTATTCTTGAGTCGCTGAAGCCTTTTTTTAAGGTACAAATTTCCTTTGATTTCGAAAGGTACTCCGCTCGAAGCGTAGCCCTCTGCTTACGGAGCTCCCCAACAGGAAAATTTGACTTTCATTTCTTCGATGTAGTGCTCTTTCTTCGTGACTTGCTCCCCATGTAAACCGCTCAGCGAACCATATAAACGCAAAAATCTCTAAGAAGCAGAGGCATCCGGTAAAAAACCAAAACGAGGAAAACACAGCCGAGGTTTCAGATCTTCTGTTTATGATAACATACCTGGCAATAATACGTTTCCCAGCGAGAAAAGTTTCGACAAAAATACTCAATTTTTCTTGAAGGACTGAGAACTCAGTGTGCATGAAACAGAGAGTAAAAGTACAAGGAAAAATTTTGCAGAAGAAAGATTTAAACGCATGCAAATCGCATATCAACAGAAAGCTTAAAGCCTGTAGAAATTTGTTTTTGAGTGGGAAAAACTCCCCTAGTACCCATTCCTCCGCAAATGGCCAAATTCTGACCAGGACTCTTGAGCGAAAATGGCTGCCAAATGACCGCGCTATAGAACTGCTAATTAGGGACTGGAAACTGGGGACACTAAACTTGGCCAAAATTGGCACAAAAATTTCCAAGCGTGAACCAGTCCGGCTTTTGCTCCAGTAAAGCCAAAAAAGCTTGGCGCTGCTCTTTTTTGAGCACGTATTTGCTTGAAAACTCTGCCAAATAGTCGTCAAGCACGCTTTCCATAGTCTACACTTCGATACAAAAGATGTGGTCAGCATGTTAAATACAAGCTTGTAGTATGACGATGACTGCATCTGGCTGCGCTTCTTTCAATCGGTGTTTTTTTTTAATGCAAATTACAATAGTAAGTTAGCGCCTCCAGGCGATGACAAACGCTTCTACTCGCATGACGTGAGCGTAATGAGTCGTTGACATGATGATGACAGCTAGGATAATCGCCGTTCAGCCAATGGTAATTTTCTTTTACTGGGAAAAGCAAGTCTCAGTTGCTCCCAAAGATGTCTACAGACCGTCCATTTTTTTCTTCCCCCACCCCTACCCCCTTGTGCTGGCGGTCAATAAAGCCCCCGCGGTTTTTTGTCTCGCGCGCTCGACGGACTTTGAAGAGAAAATAGAGGGTCTGTGAGCAGGGGAAACCAGTGTTGGCGTCGCTAACGGTCTGTTTTCTTGTCGCAAACGTTTATTGCGGTGTGCTTTTAATTTATAGAGCAAACAAAGGTTTCTTGAGTTTGTGCTTAACTTGAAGTCAAGACCTTAGATATCTTTCTCTATATCTCTAAAACATTTGTCCTTACAATTTAGTTTTTAAAAACAGCTCTAATAATAATTATTACAGAAAATGTCTATTGTTCGATTGACAATTTATATGCCTAAAACACTGTCTGAGTTGCCTGGCAGTATGGGATCAAACTGTTAAATGACAATAAGGGAAGTTATCTATTCAATGAATTGTAACAATAGAACGAACTTTCGAGTAATGGAATCTACTATTGGCTGGGAGGCATTAACTCTAGAGTTCATCTTGTCCTTTACGCGCATTTTATCATATACCATGATATGAAAAATTTGCGCGATATTATTATTATTGGAAAAAAACTGTCGAAACTGTGCCTACGGGCTTATGAGGATTTAACACTTTTTGATTTCTTAACTTAAACAACTGTAATCACAAATCTTGAATTTTTAATACTTATTGATTCTGCAGTTTCTCCTTAGTTTTTCTGCAAAGCAATTTCTTAATCATTTCCTTCTTTATATCCCTCTTGAAGAATGCATATGCCCAAGGGTTGATGGCGGAATTCAGGACTAACATGGGTATTTTATAGACTTTATCATTACAAGCGGATTGATAAAGACGCCTTACTAAACTGCAGCGCAAATATATTGCATAGCAGACGAGAAACACGACTATTACAATCGCCATCATTGTTACTGCTGATCTGTCCTGACTGCTGACCGGCAAACCTCTGTGGTTGAAGCGTAGCTGTTTTGCTAAGGTGGCTGACGATCTATCATGTTTATATACGACAAGTATCATAGAGGAAAAGCAGAATATTAGAAAACAGCATGAAAAAAACACCGAAAGGATGGTAAATATGTGAACAAAAGTCCACTTCACTGGACCAGGTAAGAAAAATGAAGTTATGACAAATCCCACGGGGATTGCCCAGGAAACAAAAATCATTTTGATAACACGACCTCGGCTCATAAAATTTAGATACTTTAAAGGCTTAACAATCGCCACGTAACGATCCAGAACTAAACAACACAAGCTTGCCACAGATGCGTAGCCGAACAGCCATCGTATTGGCCAATTGATATTCTTACATCTTGAAGACGAATTATGGCTAGTTTTAACGATTTCGCAGAAAAACTCTGAAGGGAAAACGCTAGCCCCTACACCGAGATCCGCTACTGCAAGAGAAATGATAAAAGCGTTGGTTTTAGTGAGGAGCCGTCGTTTGCTGCAAACAAGAAAAATAATGGAACCATTTCCAGCCGCCGCCACAATGGATAGTGTCCAACCAAGAATCGTGAACCAAGTTTCCATTGAAGAGAACAGGACAACTTCAGCTTCCGTTCAGCTTGGAGCTGATCGAAAAAGCACAGTTTCTGCTATTTCTGGTTAAAGGCAGGAGTTGCGACTAATGGTAACTGCGATCAATAAAATCTGTAAACGGCGATTCTTCATCCAAAAATTCAAATTCAAGTTACCATGTTGTGATCGTTGAACGTAACTTTAGCTGGAAGCTTTATACGCTCACGTTAAGGTCCTTCATCGGAAAGAAAAGTAAGGATATCTTATAAACATCTGGTAACAAGCTAAAGGTTTGCGCCTTATCTTTAGAACACAATATATGCCATTTGATATATATGTCAGTTTATGATAATCATTGCTGAGTTGGCTGAAGGACAGCAAAAGCATTTATTTAGTAATAGACCAGTTAAAAGGGTCTGTTTAAAAGAAACTCACGCTTAATTAACTCAACGAAAAACAATTTTCTGGAGTCTTCAGGATCCTGTTATTAAATGCAAATAAGCCGCTCTGTTTTATTTTCTTCTTGATTCACCTGTTGTGAAATCAATAGCCGATATTAATTGAGCGATAAAAACTTTGTTGAATGCCAACAGTAAATAAACTGTTATGCAAAGCGTGGAAATTCCCATCCCTTTTTGGCTTGTGTCGTCATTAGATGGGATTTAGGCGCAGTCGAGGCCAGTAAAGTGACAAAACGCAAAAAGCATTTAGAACAATTAGCTGGCTCGTTTTCAGCTTCGTTCTTCTTTACTTTTAAATTAACTTGTTTTCAGTTAACTCATTGAAAGGCAAATTCGTGGAGACTTGAAGCTCCGACCTGTTATCAAACGCAACAAGCCACTCTGTCTCATTTTGTCATGATTCAACTATTGTTAATTCTGATAACTAATGCCGGGAGACTTGAAGATCGAAAAAAAAGCAAGGAAAAGAAACAAACAAGCAAACAAAAAACCGAAAAGTTCGTCCATTGGACTTCGTAATTATGGAAAATGAAATTCGTGCTGCTTCTAAACTTGTCCCGGATGTTCAAAAGATGGCCATAGCACTATCTACTAGGGCCCAGTTGTGCAAACGTTGGATGGCGCTATCCGTCGGATAAATAGTTAACCCAGCGGATAAGTAATAGGAAAACCAATTGCGCTATCCCCTGGATAGAGATTGATCCAGTGGATATGGTCATCGGCATCTTTTTGAGGTCAGATAAATCACTATATAGTGGATAGGTATTAAGAAAACCGATTGCGCTATCCAGAGGATAAAGAATGATCCGATGGATAGCCTTATCCACGTTTTGAACAACTGGGGTAAGAAGAATAACAAATCTCCGCCTTCGGATAAACTAGGCTATAGTAAGTGAAATTATGACGCCCGCATGTTATAAAACATTTCTATTAACCCTCGGAGTCCTACATGGAGGGTGTATGCCTCCCCCCTCTGAGGTTTTTCTGAGTTTTCCTTAGAAGATCAAACATAAGCATCCGACGTTTACAGGAGCTGTTCTTTTATCCCTTGCGTGCATTTTGAGATAAGTTTAGTGATGATCAGTTACCATGGTTACGAAATATAACGTCATAAGTAGCAGGTGGTCAAGCCATTTTTGAATGAAAATGTATGTTTTTTCAACTTCTTCTAACAATAAAAGTAAAACTTGCCAATAAAATGAAGCAAAGTACTTATTTTATGTGTTATTTGACATGTTATCCGTTTTTACCTGATTTCTAATTCTTGGTAAAATCAAAAATGGCAGCCAAGATGGCGAATATGTTTGGTGATGTCACAGGCCTCTAGCAGCGCCAATGCGCATGCCCATAAAATATAGGACGACAGAAGATAACAATGACCTCAACCAGGTTGTGGCGTCCAGCGGTTTTAGTGAAAACAAGGGTTTGGGTGGGGTGCTCAATCTCGGTGGGCTCATAAAACCCGGCCTTGATCATTCTTATTTAAGGATTTTCTAAAATATGCCTCACTAGTCTTGTCGAGTCGAAAAGATCAAAGGCTTTCCGCTAAAGGTAAAATCTTTTCGAAAAACTGCAACATGTCAAAAACTTCAGAGAGGGGTTCCATCAACCCCCTCTCCCTGCCCCTACAGCATAAAAACTTCTACTGTAAACTTTTGCAGCTTTACTCGGCTAATTATCTTTGCAAGCTTTTGACGTATCATTTTCCAAATTCAAGTTTACTAATTATTAGGCCCTCTTTCCAGTGGCTTTGACGGATTTTCTCTAACTCATCAGTTACATGCCAAAAGTGTAAAAAAAACCGTGGAAGGGTGTACTGAGGAAAGCTGTTTCTACGTCTCTGCGCAGAGAAAGGATCGCCATGTTCTGCCTGGCCATATACGCGAAAGTGTGAGCGGTTTCTAGGTCAATGTAGGGCAAAGACAATACCTTCTCCTTTTATATTTTAAGATTCTGAGCATTGTTTCCGTCCAGCAATAAGCCATGTATTTGTTGATTTGTTAGAGTGGAGAACGAGGAACACGACAAGAGTAGAACAGAACAACATGGGTTTATTTGTGAACCGCCATTACGAGAGCACATGGTTCGAAGTGAAGGATCATGGGAACTAGAAACATACTTCATGTGTGCTACAATATACTACCAATCAACAGTATTCTAGAGGCGTAATACCAATCGAGTTTCTTAACTCCACAACTGAGTTTATCATGCACATCGGCTCAAAAAATGTCCAGCGAAGTACATTTCATATATTACGACATGAATTGCCTCTATCAATGGGTTCTATCCTGTTATCCTTTTTAAAAGTTGTTCTACACACTAGTTTTTTAATCTCCTTCTTTATGTCCCTTTTGAAGAAATCATAGGCAAAAGGGTTAACGGCAGAGTTTGAAACGAATATTGGTATTTTATATCTGACATCGTTACACGAAGCTTCGTGAAAAAATAATAATACAAAATCACAGCGTAGATAAATTCCATAGCAAGTAAGAAACAAACCTACAACAATTGCCATCATTTTAACCGCTGATTTGTCGTGGGTGTTGAATGTCAAGCCACCGTGGTTAAAACGTAACTGTTTTGCTAAGATAGCTGATGATTGATCATGTTTGAGTGTTGAATACCAACCATGGAGAGAGTGCAAGTGTTACGACACAACATGAAAACATCTCCAAGCTCATCCGGAACAAGTTTGTGTAAGACCACAAAATTGGAAGAACCAAAAAAGGCAGGATGGTTGCGAATCCTAAGGGAATTGTAGTAGTCTACTAGGGTCAAACTTAACCCCGTTGGTGCCTTTCCTTGCCTTCCGTATGCCTTCCCTTAATTAATATGTATAACGGTCGAGTCCATGACGTCACCCATTGTTACAACCTAGGGAAATAGTGCTTTCCTCCATATAATGAAGTGGAAAGGTTTACTAATGAGCGTCTCTCTACTTCAATAGAAACAATAGACTTGCATCGGCCTGCCCGTGAAGTAACTTGAGCCCGGTTTTCAGACTGCCTATTAAAAGGAAAATAGGAATAAGAGAGGCAATGACCTAGCAACGCGAGAAACGGCTTCCTATATCTTATTTAGCGCTGAAACTCAGATAACTAAACAAAACACATACAGAAAGTGGAGTGGAAAAGTCTTTATTTCAATATAGTTTATGTCTTCTTATTTAGCTCCAAAACTCGTATATATATAAACAAAACACATATACACAAAGGGGAGCTGAAAACTCTCTATTTCAATTTTGTCTGACGTTTTCACCTATCTGTCTCGAGGAAATGAAAAACTATTACATTCTCAGCGTTTCACGTACCGTTAGTCAGTTAATTATGCGAGTTCACAAGCCCAGAGTTGAATACAAATTAGCTCTACAGGAAAGACCCAAGGGAGCACCTTGATGTATTGTTATATAAACAATCTGAAATGACTGAACAAGGATCAATTAAAACACGCGACTAATAATTGCTAGCAATAAAAACACAAGAGAGCTCGAGATACCGTTTTAAAAACTTTATTAAAAAACAATGACAAAAAGAGTCAAATACACAGCCATTTGTAAGGAATGGAAATTAATTAGTCTTCATCTTGGTTCTCCTCTTTAGAAGGGGAATAGAAATTGGCTTCCAACGTCTTCGCGTTTTTGTGTGTAACTGCTCCACACTCGTTGCACCGAAGAAAGCCCTCCTTCATGTAATTTCTCCCCTCGCGAATCTGGTGATCGCATATGGGACAAATCTTGTAGTAATCGTGCCAAAAGCATTTAGGACATTTCATGATCAATGTCCCGTACACATTAGAGTTATCGCAGTGTTCACAGGGACTTTTAGAGTGAAAGGTGGTGGACGTACGTTTCAGAGTTACCACTTTCTGTTTCCTGACTGTCGTTTTCAGTGTGGTTGTCGCTCTCTTGGGTGCCTTCAGCTTCAACACCATTCTCAGAAGCCACTTCCTCCTCCTCCTCCTCCTCCTCTTCCTGATTTTCAATATCCGATGAACTCTCCTCATTATTACTGTCGTTATCGGAAGTATTTTCTACTTTTGGTAGCCTTTTTCCTTTCTATTAAATCACTTAACAATGTTTTGTTCTTGAATTGATTAAACCTTTATCGATTCCTAACTCCGCAAGTCCATCTAGAAACGTATTCAGCGCATGAGGCTTGATAACCTCATTGTTATGAGGGAGTAACACATGCTCAACTAGCTCGGTGATGTTTGTGACGGGAATAGTGCGTTTATTGCGAAGTAATTGTCCGCTGGGGGTCCAGAAAAGAATATCTTTGGACGCGGCCATACTATGCAGCAAATCAGAAGCACGTTTTTCGGCACTGCTCGAGAAAGATGACTCAAAACATCTTTTATTCTTGGTTCTTCTTTTATTCTTGGTTCTTCATCCTCGCTTTCATCACCAGAAATTAATTCTAGCTAGCTAGCTAGAACTTTCGCTTTCTTCATGTTCACTCTCGTGTTCTTCTTCAACCAAATCTATCTTTCTCTTCATTTTGATGAGTACCAGTGACAGACTTAGCTTCTAATGATCAACCTAGCGATGCGTCA